ACCCTGGGGTCTCTCACACCCTCTAACCCTTTCCATTGCTGCTGTGACTGCACATTTTATCTTTTTTGTTCTCTTTTTTTTTGTTGTTTACTGTCTCTCTCTCTCTCTCTGTCTGTCTTTTTCTGGTGCCCAAGCAAGCGTTCCAGAGTGTATGTGGAATAAAATGAAAGCATAGTACAGATCAAACACAGACATGAACACACACCAAACACACAGACACACGCACACAGATCAATGTCAGAAATAACTGCAGGCAAAGAGCAATAACGTCCCTATATTAAAGATTTTTGCTCAGTTCAGAGGCAAGACATGCCCCCAAAAGTGAAGTGTCATAAATGTAATACATCAACATGAATGAATCAATGAGAATGAATGACACTATCATGCTATTAAAACACTTGGGGCATCACTTCGCCCTCAGATGAACAAGCTTTGCAAGTTAACACAATTCGAAAAATAAAACAATCAGTATGTTATACAAAAATATGTCACCACTAATGTTGTAGTTAAGACCGTTATTTAACCATGGTAAACAGTAAAACCAGGTTCAAAGTGCAGATCAGTAAAAGCTGCTTGTAGTGTACTGTAGTGTACAGCTTTGATTTGTCCACAAATAGTGAGAAAGAACAGAATTATCAATGTTATATGGACTTTACCATCTTAGAGTTTATAGTTGCCTAGCCTGATGCTTTTTCTCCAAAGCCATTCATAATACTGAAAGGAGTTGAATATATCTTTGCATGACGCTAACTTAGTAGCCTACTGTCCAATGTGTATCACTGAACATATTAGCTGCACATTAGGCTAACACAAGCTTGCTTTTTACCAGAAGACAGGCAAAATGACAGCAGAATTAAAGGTTTCTGCGTTTTTTATTTTATGTTTCCAGTGACTTGCGAGTGAAATTTTCAAATACTTCTTACCCTGACCAATAATTTCCAGATCCAAGTACAACACTAGTCACCATCACTACAACTCAAAACTGCAAGTGTAAATAAGTTAGCCTGTCTGCCAATAAGAAACAGATGGACGACTGAAAAGATGTTGACAAAATACTTTAATGACAGTATTGCTCACTTTGCTAATTATTTGCTTTGGTGTTGAGTTCAATTTTGTAATCTCAGATTTAGTACTGTAACTAAAATGTTTAAAGTGTAAAAAGTAGGGGTGGGAATCTCTAGGCACGTCACGATTCGATTACGATTACGATTCAGAGGGCTGCGATGCGATTATAAAACGATTATTGATGCATCTTGATGCATCTTTTTTTGCTATACAGGATTTCTATTCTCCTGCTGTCTGAGGACTTCGTAGTTTTAAAGCAAAGTATTTGTAATGATCCATAATGCATTTACTTCCAATATCTTTTATTATTAAATCAAATGGAAGTGATGTGGCAAGTGAACTGGACGGCTCTCATTTCACTGCTGTTTGGAGCACATGAGACGCAAGATCCAGTGGTAATAGATGTCCATGGAGCACATTACAGCTATTCTACTCGTTTTCTTTAGTGATTTTATAACTTCGTTTTTGGTCTCATTGTAGAGAGTGGTGGGATCTCTGTGTGAGTAAAATATCTTCGAGACAGGTCACTTAGCAACGAAGTCTCGCCTGGCTAGTAGCGAACAAAAAGGCACAGAATTAAGACGAACATTTGGAGACGCATGGACTTATTTGCATTTATAAGCACTACAATTGGTTTCCTGGTACGTTAAATCTGCAACGAGAGACTGTCAAACACTAAAAGTCGCAAAGATGAAGTCGCTTCTCTTTAGAATTTTCCCGGTCCACAGGAAAATTCAAACAAGAAGCTGGAGAATGAGAAGCGACTTCAGCCTCATAAACAGTCGAACGATGAGAAACATTTTACAAGAAACTGGTCTACTTTTAAGGAAACGTTTTCTGGCGGAGATGTGAGGAAAGTGGCTATGACTAGTTAAAGCTTAAAGCAGAGCAAAGTAAGAACACTGATTTTTGACATTTGTTAATCGATTCAGAATCGTTCACGTCCGCATTGCAATGCATCTAACAATCGTTTTTTTCCCGCACCCCTAGTAAAAAGTATTTTGCAAAGTGCACTGATTTGTATATGAATTTTATTCAGGGAGGGACTAGGCCTGGCACAATTATTACATAATTACCAAACCACAATTATTTGTGATGATCACAGTTATTTGAGATGATTCCAATTATTTAAGCTGGCTGAAATCATTTTCCAAACCAGTATTAGCTACAAAGTATTGACAGCTAGGAAGCAAGACAACTAATCAGTCAATTTCCACTTTAGGCTTGTACTTTAATAGTTGCAAACAATGAACAGGAAAAGACAATTAATCGCAATTATTTATACGGTAATTAATCGTGAGCTAAAAATTTCATGCACGTGATGGGGATAGTGAGATGGTTGGCATAGTGAACTGCCCCTTATAAAAACTAAAAAAAATCTATCCCGTCACTGATTCCACTTCACTATAGCTGTTACAGAGTCACCTTTACTTATCCTTCCACACTGAAATGAAATCTGCATCATAGCTTTTAGCTTAGCCCTGACAGCTAGCCTCCCTCACTCAAAAAAGGCACTATAGTAAATCAATTAGCGGAGTCGTTGACTTTACTTTTTAATTGGCTAGTGTGCACGGGGCCGGATCGCGTGTCATGCTGGACGGGAGTAGCCAATGAGTCAATGTGCAGATTCTGCACTGGGCCAGACCCAAAACACAGCCCAGCCATGCGTTACACACACTAATTATACACCATGTCTTACTCTCTCCCTGAACACACACACATGCTGAGAGACACACACACACAGTGCTTCAGCCCCAGTGAGAGTAGAATAGAGCTCCTCTTTCTGCCCTCAGCTTCAGAATAGCTGCATCAATAAGCTCAGCTCTGTCAAACCACAGGCTGTAACGTGAGCAGGGCTACATCTTTACTACAGCCCTGAGTATGTGCGTAAGTGAATGTGGATTGTGCCCTTCTTCAGGTCTGTACTATATATATGTATATGCTGAATTGATGCAGACATGCTTGAGTAAGAGCTGCATCACAGAAAGGATTCAGAGAGATTTATAGTGTGATTCATTTGACATCTACAATACAAGAAATGTCTTCACACAAGGATAGAGTTTCGCTGCTGCGGTCTTGAGGCCGGTGACTGCACCCCAGTGCGCTGGCCAGAACTTCTTGCCCTTGCAGTTAGACTGAAGGTGAACGCACACTATGTCTGTCTTCTCAAACACACACACACACACACACACAGGCACCAAGACACACACATACTTAGACCTCTCAATGAAATAAAACACCAGCTGCTCTCCACTGCCCTGAGAGGCTACGATCCCCCCTCAGGGTGAATGACGATCACAAAGAGGTTGTTGTATTTTGCTTCAAACTGCATTATATACACGACCTATACCAATAGATATATCAACAGCATGCATGAAAAAAGTACAATGCGTGGTATAGTCTTGCCGAAAAAAATATTATTTCTTTTCTGTGCAAGTATCTGTAGTTCGCTTCTTTAGGCTGGCTTTACAAACAGATGCATGTTGTGAGTTGCATGCAACATATCTTGGCAGTTACATGACGCATGTACATGTGTAAGTTGCAACACATGCTATTGCTCCACCAATGAACCAAATCAGCAGCTTGAATTTTGTGACACATTGTACAGTTCTCTGTATATAAAGTCATCTGTGATGTGTTATTTATATTTGTACACTGTGGCATTTTTTCAGCTGCCATTGGCAATCTTTTTTTACATCTATATCTATACATATTTTATCTATCCATAGTCATATTTTGGCCTCCCAGTAGGCACAAAAATAGGCACAAATCCTCAGAGAACATACTTCTGTACATTCTAATGCACAGTTAAATGTTTCCTTTTTTTCTCTTTATTTTTTTGGAAAAAATAAAACAAATTGTGGCCTGTGCATGTCATTTATGTTTTGCTTTTTTCCAGTATGGTACATGTAAATTTGCAGGAAAATGTCATATTTAAGTTTGTTCCCTTGGTTAACTTATTTTTCCTTAGAAACTCAACAAAATGTGTAATTTGACTGGAGGTGTTCAAAGTTCTTGCATACTACTGCATCTATTTAAGGTATTTTCCAATATATTTCAGCTTTTTATCTGTTCTGTGTATGTTAAACCTTTAAAAAATTAATGTCTGTGTAGCCATTACGGTTGTATTCAATGTCTTGCAAGTTTATCAAGGAGTGCACTTCGGTCTCCCCTTCTGTAATAATTTTCATCATACGGATTCCAAACGAATCTCAGCTCTATGTAAAATTGAGGGGCATCAAGAGAGGAAAAATATGTAATCTAGCTATATAGATCAAAATAGAAGCAGGCTAACAAAGAAGAATAAACAATGGAACAAGCAGCCATTTCAGCAGCTGTTACTGTTAGCTGGCTAGTTTACAGAAACATTAGCTTCATACATTAACTAATTAGTTGAGTGAAATCAACTGTATGAAATTACGCCATTTGAAATGATCACATGATGGGATATCTGTATTTTGTTTGGCTTTATAAACTTAAAAAACTATAAAAGATGCTTTCAACTGCTGCAGCTTAGTTTCAAATGCAGGATGCTTCACATTCTACAACTCGTGAAACTGCGTCTCGTGTATGTTTCAAGCAAACTAAAGTTGCACATAAAGCAAAGTTCTGCCATGTAAAGCAAGCCTTAGTTTTGTACTGGAGTTACGAGGCAAATGTAGGAAGTTTCTAGCAAAGGAAAGTTATCAGATTGCCATCTGATCGCCATCTGATTGCAATCTTTGTAACTAAAAAAGTCAATTTGACTGTACATGTTCGGCCTAAGGCAAGTGTGTAAAGATTTAGGCATGAAGTTTGTATGATTCTAAAGTGTGTGATATATATGCTTCTACTTGTTGGCTTCATTAGCCTCCAGTACAACTAAAGATGTAAACTTTGGACACCAAACATTTCTAGGCTACATTCTGGGCAAGGAGAAAATTCTTTTTCCTCACCTCAGTGATGCGTGGGTTGGTGCACTTGACGTTGGTAGTGGCCAGGTTGAGCCAGCGGCTGGTGTATGGGTTGGACATAGGGCAGTGGTGGCGCAGAGTGCAGCGGCCCTCCATACTGCACCAGCCACACTGGAACTTCCTCTCAGCCTTTAGACACATGCCGCAGCTGTCTCTTTGAGCGCCACACTTGTACAGGTGCACTGTGGAACACAAGAGGATTGAATTACCAGGTTCAATAAGCACAACACGGCAGAGATCAACAAACCAAAATGTGTCAAACTCATATATGTCTACGCTATATATTTTGGACTGATGTAGACAAAGCTGTACACCACATAGCAAGAACCTGAAATGGCCAGATATCAAGAAATAGCCAGTTTCATTAGGTGATTGCAAGTTTGACCCCTGGTGATGCCACAGTAATTCATTGTCCAAGACAGTATTACTGGCCTCGCTCTCTCTGGGTGAGTAGGATGGCCCTCCATCTCCGCCATCACTTAGCACAATGCTAGTCAATGTGGCTGTCTGCTAGCTGACACAACAGAATTGTCAGTTAGCCTTCTCATTCTAGCACATTAGCTGTCCAGTGATGTTGCATTAGTGCCAGTTTGAAAAGATGCTTCACATGTTTCAGAGGAAGCACATGTTAGCCATTACCCTAATAGCCTAGCAAAAGACAGAGACCTAGTTAGTGGGTGAAACTGGACACAATTATATTGAGAATAAAATTTGGTGCCAACTCAAGACATATCCAGTTTTTATGTATATGCTGTGGAGTTGACCGGTGGCCCCTTGAGTTATTACCAAAAAACACTATTAATATGTGGAAGCTCTTTTTTCTTTCTTGCACACTTTTCCCATGTCTCCTAAAACCTCAACAAGGTTTTTTAACACAAATTTAAAGATGTCAGTTTGTGCTGGTTGTGGCAGGACTCACAGCATCCAGCTTTAAAAAAGACAAATGGTTTATGTATATGTGTGTTTATTTGTGTCTGTGTGTTCTATGCTTCGAAAAAAGGCACAGTTGGAAGTGGAGTTCTGTTGGCTGGGTTACCTTGGATGTTCTCAGGATTATCAATAATAAAGTTGCCGTTCCACACCACCGAGAAATCCACCGGCAGCTCACTAATCCTCATCCCCTCATAAAGGTACTGCAGAGAGAAACAGAGAGAGAGAGAGAGAGACAGAGGGAGGGAGGAAGGAATGAGGTTGGAACAAGGGAAATTTTGGAGTGAGCAGTGGTCTCACTGTGCTACACTGCTTTTATTACTATGGACTTGCATCATGGGTCTCTCAGCCAGGGAAGACTTCATACACTCTTCACAAGATAACTCACCACCCACAACTCACTGTGCAGCGAGCACTATGTGATTGCTAGAGAGTGTGGGAGTGAGTGTGTGTGTGTGTATTTTGGGGGGTATTATGACACTTCAGCAGTCATAAAGGTAACACAGCCTTAGGCCATGCCCCAAAAAGCAGTTAATCTTAATGACATAAGATGTTCTCTTAATGTTTATCTTAATGACAAAATATTATTAGTCATAGCGACAGAGGAAGGACAAACGAACTACCGAATGTTTGCCAAGAATAATTATAATGTCAGTTTATGTTAGGTGCAGTAAGAATGTGCAAGTCTTTAGCTGTCTGTATGCAGTGCAGCGCTGTGCAGGCTGTCACTAGCGATATTTTATAATGCATACATCTAAAAGCAGCCAACTTATTGACTATTTTTTTAATTACATGAAGAGTATAGTTACATTTCCAATTATTACTTCTGAGTGGCACAACCATCTAAGCTTTGGCCCTATTATCAGGAGATCACGAGTTCGATCCCTGGTGATGCTACAGCCATCGGTGGCCAGGAGTCCAAGAGAGTACAGTTGGCCTTGCTCTCTGGGTGGGAAAGATGGCCTTGCCTCTCCCCCCATCACCCAGATCTGGCAGTTGTCGCTTTCCTCCGAACACATTTGGCTGTCCAATGACGTTGCGTGTGTGGCAGTTTGAAAAAGATGTGGTAGCTGGATTCGCAGGTCTCGGAGGAAGTCTGTGCTAGCCTTCGCCCTCCTAGTGCTGGTGGTATCATGTGACTGGGGGAGTCCTAACTAGTTGTAATTGGATATGACTAAATTGGAGAGAAATTGGGAAAAATAAAAAAATTAAAAAGTCCAATTATCACAAATGTAGTTCATCAGCCAAGACATGTTAGGTGTCCAAATTTTGCTTCTTTAGTTTTGAACTGGAATTGTGAGGCTGACCTTACCACTCAAATAGGACAAACTGTTTCCATAAAAATACTTCACCGAAACTTCTCTCAACTTTTAGAGACCTGTTTTGAGACCTGTTTTTTTTTTACAGTTCCCAGTAAGTTATACTGTGTCCTAAAACACATCAACAAGTCCGTCAAATATGACCTGGATGCGGTTTGGATGAGTTGAGAAAAGTTTTGGACCTTTTTTTTGGAAAACGATTTGGGCTATTTGGGTGACTGTTGTGTTCTACTGTGTGTTAGAAACCTCGCTGCTCCGGTTCTAAACTAAAGAAGCAAAATCTGGACTTCAAACATTTCTCAGCTGATCGACTACATTTAAGTTAAGTGGAAGACTCTGTAATTTTTTTCTGCCAAACTATTCCCCTTGATCTATCTAGTAGAAATGTGCTGTAACACGAGTGCTTTGGTTTTAAACTTCACACATCATCAGCGTGCTGCTGTGAAATACTATCTCTGGTTTGTATGTGCTTTAACGTACCATGATGTTACTGTTGTGGGTGGAAAACTTCTACTCTTTGAGCATTCTGGGTTTTGTATCTTGCTTTCCTGCCACCATCTTTCAAAGTTAGACACTCAGTTTCTTCTTTTATGGTGTAATGATACAACAGAAGCCTCACTGCTCCAACACTTCCTGTAGTGTTGGAATGACTGTGTCTATCATTTGCTTTGAAGTACGTGCACTGACAATAAAAATTTACTTTGACATTTTTTCACTTTGTCAACTCACTGTGGCAGCCCTAATATTGTGCGTGTTTGTGAGTCATACCGAGCTGTTCTGGCATTGCACGCTGGAACTGTTGAAGCGGAGCGCTGTGACTCTGTGGCTGACCCCCTGGATGTGCAGGACACACTCATAGCCGCGCTGGCCAGACTGAGGTTGTGGAAGGTTCCGGGCCTTCAGGGTGATGGGCTTCACCTCACCTGCCGGGATCAGAATCTCCTCAGAGCGCACCAGCTGAGGACAGTCCTAACAGCACAAACAAGGGAAAAAGTAAACGTGAAAACACCACACTTATAGCTGACAGATGACACTCTGAAAGCTCAGGGTTGGGTAGTTTAGACAGGTTAGACAGGATTACATTATTGATTACATCACCATTCAGGTGACTATGTATCTGCACCTTTTAGGCATTTCCAGCTCTCTATTATTCGACTAGTCTGTGTGAAAAGTCTAGTCGAGTAACTGATTGATTTAGCTCATCGATGTGGTACATTATACCCTGTCAGGTGGTGAGCTGACCACCTTTCTAACATGGGGGATTATCCTAGGTCAAGTATCAGCATTAGGTTACTTGTCAATCATTTACCATATCCAATTCGACTGCCCTGATGCACAGCCCTAGTATGCACATGTATGTGTGTGCATGTTTGTTTCTCCACTGCCCCATTTCCAAAGCTTTTCTCTGTGTTACTGACCTGCTCAGCTCTTGTAGCCAGTGGCTCTGTGTATACGGGTCAGAGCAGCAAGCCACTTCATCACTGTTCAAATCTACTGCATCACAACACTCAAGGGAAGGGCATGCCAATAATAGCACTGCTGTGGAAAGTGTGTGCAATGGGAGGTCTCACTGGAGCATCGGCAAGTGTGTGTGCGTGCATGATTGTGTATGTGTTTGAGTGCTTGCAGGTGTGCAGTTGATCGATGTGCTACGTTATACCCTGTCAAGTGGTAAACACACTTGCTCACCCCCTCCCCATGAGTAATTAGCAGCTGATACCAAGAATAGTCTTCTCCACTGCACACACACACACATGAACACACACACAAACACACAAACAAACTCACACAGCCAGACTCAGTGACACTGCTAATAATGAAGATATTTTTATTTATCTTTTGACACCAAAACTTTGAGTCCAAAAAACATTTCATCTTCATTACTTGATTACAGTAATGAATAACTTTTAAATAATATTTTTTTTACACTTTGTTAGCTTTGAGTTGCAGCCCTAATATTATCGTACCGGGCTGTTTTGGCATAGCACTTAGTTATCAAAATTGTAAAAAAAAATAATTAATTAAAACTGCTGATCTCTAGTAGTTTTATCAGTTCTCCAGCTCAGTGATGTTACATTCCTTTAAGGTCAAGCCAAATAACAAATCAATAACTCCTCATTAACGTGCTTGTTTTATCATTTTATCATTTATCTCAAAGGTACATTTGAAACGAATACATTGAAAAACAGATATAACCTACAAATCAGATTAGATGGTCAGACTAAAGTTAGTCAGAGCAAGGGTACATGCTGAGGGTACGTCATTTTTTCACGAGGTCTTCCAGTAAAGGACTGCATGCATTGATATTTGAATTCCTAAATATAATTGTTTTAATCACAAATCTGAGCACCATTTAATCTTACAAAGTTAACATAGCTAGCTAATCTAACATTGTTCTGTAAGGTTTTTTATGCTCAGGCATCATACTAAAATGGATGTCAGTAAATACAGTTACCTAGCTTGTTGACAGTTTTGTCATTGAGCTGTGATTATGGTCATACATCGCCATCAGTATTCTCACAGCAGGTTTGTTCTGAGGAGTTACGTCATGTCAGAGTTTTTCCCCAACTTGCTGGAAGAAGTAGTGCTTAGAGACTGTTTCTTGGCAGAGACTGGTCAATTCTTGAGTGTCGTGTTAATCATTATTTTACAAACCATTACGGTCCATGAGATGATTTTAATTTAGAACATGGATTTTAGATGAATTTGTCAGGATGGATAAAAACTATGATCATGTCTGTCTCAGCCTGCAGACCATAAGTTTGACAACCCTGGCTCCAGCTAGTTTACAGATTCGTGAGAGAAATCAACCTCTGTCCAGTGAAAACTAACAAAAGGCACAGTATGGATATATGGAACAGGACTGATGTCTGTTCTAATAGGCACAACAGCACTGTTACTTACAATTCACTAGATTCCATTTAGTATCTAGGAATTGTTATTATGATAATTTATCCCAGCCAAAAGGGGAAATAAGCACTTTCTGTTTTCTGGTTCTTAAAACCGCTTTAACCTATTCAAAATAGAGGTGACAGAAAACTTAAATTACACTTCGCTAATTAAAGGAATACTCCAGTGTTATTTTTGAGGCCAAAGTCTATCTGCTCCATCTCTATCGTATAATTGATCATCACAGGCAAGAAAGCGTTTCCCTGTACTTAGAAAAAGCACATTTGCAATCAATATAAAATGGCCCTTGCTTCATTATTTGCCCATTGTCTTCCATTATAATTGTATTTCAAATCAACAGGTTTTCTGTTCATTCAGTATGTACAAGGAAATGTGGCAAAAATTCAGTGGGGAACCCTCACAGTCTTGATTTCTGTGATAGCAGAGCAAGTATTATTTAGGTGGTGGATCATTCCCAGCACTGCAGTGACACTGACATGGTGGTGTGTCAGAGTGTGTTGTACTAGTACAAGTGGATCAGACACTTCAGTACTGCTGCAGCCTTTAGACACAACTATGTTGTTGGTCCACCTTGTAAATGTAAATGTAGACAACAGCTCATCTGTCGCTGCACAGTTTTGTTTGAGTGGTAGCTTGTCCTATGTGTTTCACTCAGAAATGGAAAAAAATAACAACTCTAGACCAGGGAATCTTAACCGAAAGAGTCACTGTAATCTGTAAGACTGTAATATACGATATATGTTAATGTATCTGTTACAAACTTCAAACAAAAAATGGAATGCCTTTTATAAGCTTCAAATGTCCGCATTTAATCTAGAATGGCCAAAATATGTTCAGGGGTATCACTGTTAGCTTTGTGCAAACATACTATTAAATTCACATAGGTGAGCTAGCAGAATTTGGCATTATGCTTCTCCTCCTTTTCGACTAACTTTTGACATTTACGGCCCGAACTGAAAGCCTAGCTCTAACAGTCATGGATTGCCACTGCAACAATTTTGTGTTCGTAGTAATTGACTATATAGACGTAGCAGACATAAAATAGGGTAAAAAACACTGGAGCACATTCCAAATTTATACTGTACTTTATAGCACTTTCATAATTTTTTAATAAGCGGATTATTTTCAATATAATCGTTTATTGCTTATTAACTAAAAAATCAACAGACACAGTTACACACATCAAAACAGCACCACTATATTTCTGCATGAATGCGCTCAATCAGATGTGCTTTCAACTTTTTTTTTTTTTTCTCTGTTCCCATTAGATGTGTCTGCATGGGTAACTGAAATGTGAGATTATTTGGCAAAATGTCACAACGGTAAAAAATGGAGTGAAAAACTGCATAATTTGTGAATGTGTGTTGTGTGTACCTCGGAAGCATTGACCCGTCCCTCCTGGAAAGAGCAACTGGAAGGATCGTGTGTGCACAGGTTTCGGTACTTGCACCAGTGGCAGCGGAAGGAACTGGTCACACAAGATAAACACCTAAACACACACACACACACAAAGATAAAAACAAAGAAATTCTGTTTATTATTCCAACAAAAATCCTTTCGCTCATTCTCAGATAGAAGTTACCCATACGTTCTGACCTGAGGGCAGTTTAAGTGTATGTCTCTAAAAGTGAGAAGAGCAGACAGCCTTTGCTCTGCTCTAGAGGACTGCAGCTCCATGGGGAAGCGCTCAAATATTCATAAAGGCAATATATCCCAAACACCTTCTGCTGTGTCCTTGCGAAGTTGCAAATTACAGGATACAATTCAATCACTCTATTAATGCAAAACTCTCAAGCAATGCGCTTCTTTGGCTGACCATCTCACATACATTTATGTGCCCATTCATGACCGGGTTCTGTAGAAAAATATGCATGACTACCGCATATACAATGCATTAGGGCTTGACTGATATCAAATATTTATGACAGATGCTAATCCCAGTTTTAAAGAGCTAAAAATTTAGGTAACCTTAGAGTTTAATACTTTAACTCAACTAGTGCTTTACTGTTGTTTGTCAGCTGTAAATCTTCAAATATGACGGTCAGTTCTCAAATGCCAAATGATAGAAACTTATGGAGCCCTGCTGGTGACATCCCGTATAAATAAAGATAATGCGTGGCCACAACTTGGTAAGACATGAGAACGAGATAATTATGTTGTGAAAGTGAAAGTGAAAACATACTTTTAAATCCTAACATTTTCATGTACACTTATAAAGTACTTGTTAGAAAGGTCAGGAGATTCTAAATGTATTACTATTACTTATGTATCTTTAAACATTACTACTGCTTTACCTTCACTCAAGTATATTTCACTTTTCAGTGTTTTGTGGTCAAATTTACAACCCTAATATCAGCCGCCCAACCATATATCAGCCTCTCCATACAACGCATATAAGCTTTATCTAACATTACACACAATCAGTAGGCATCAGCCTACAACCTGCTAATTTAATTAGTAGGCATCAGCCAGAAGGGCAAAAGTTGCAAAAGGTGAGCTTCAGTTCTAGTACTCACTAACACTTCTTTACCTTCCTTCTACCTGCACAACCACTGCCTTTAAAGGAGTGAGCTATGAGGTCAAATAAAACAAAGCATGGATCTGTATGAAGCATCAGTATACAGCACTGTTAGGGGTGCTGAGTTTGGAAGGACACCTTTTTCATCATGGGTTTGCAACACTGGGAAGCGTGAGGTTGTGTAAATGTGGCCAGTGGTGCTTTTTTAAAGCAGAGTGAATTTCTACTTCAGCCCATACAGCATACAAATGGGCTTCTGTTAGAGTGGACAATGTGGAGACAGGAAGAGAACGGCAGGTTAGCCTACATGGAGGGAGAAAGAGAACAGCCAAAAGGGTAGGTGTGAGTATGTGTGTTTGTGTGTGTATGTTTGTCTAACGATGACTCAGAAAGCTCCAGTAGAGGTTACAGTCAGTGCATATACATATAGCACACAGGACAGGGAAATCTTCCACAGTTTTTTCTCTGAGTTTAAAGAAAAAGTTTTGCCAAAAAATTAATTTCCACAACTGGCAAAGTGGCCGAGTTTTATTTTTCTTCTTATTGTTTGTTTTACTTTCTTATTGTTATTTGCTGCAAACCAATGAAAAACATAATTCCTAATGTTTAATTCAATAACACTCCCACAGAATATTTACATGTGGTTTGGTTTAAAGGGCCCATATTGTGGGCATCTTATCAAATTTATATAATAAAAGAGTGTCAGAGCTTGAAGTATTACATAAATATTCTTAATTCTTTCCCTTAAAAAAATTGTCATTATTTTAGCATTTAAAGGCCCAGCAAACTATTTTTCCTAATTACTCAAAATGTTATATTAGCTGGAAGAATGTGATCATCTTTATACTTCTGCCTCAGTCCAACATTTACTGGGCACTGCAAAGTGCATAAAATGACCTCTAACATTTCATTTTTTTGTATACTGCCCCTAACTGCCGTTCAGAAATTACACTTTATTTTGAGTAATCTTGGACATTACAGATAAACTAACTGACTACAATGAATCATAAGCTACCTTATATTGCATATTTATGAACTGTCAGATCAACTGACCCTCCCACACTGCAGGCAATTGAAATATATAAAATTGCTCACATAAGTATAAATTTTTCACAGATTTCTAAAATGCAAAAAAAACCATCCCTTACAATATTTGACAACCAATCCTATGCTGGATCTGGATGTCACAAGTGCACAACATGAATTTACCCATGAATGCGCTCATTCCAGGAAATATTTTTGACATTATAAGTGTCTGGTTTTTTTGCCAAGATGTTCAACTATTTGCTGCTAGCTGTATTTTCCTGTGCACTCCCAAGGAGAGAAGAAGAAATTTCTTCTTAAAACCCACTTACACAAGGTTACACAAAAATTCTGACATTCATCAATATTTTCTTATTTGGGATTTGTTCTTAGGTAAGAACAGAAACTACACACACTGAAGAGCACAAATATGTGAATAATTCTGCGGTTTAAGAACACGTCAGCAATCTAACAGAGACTTTTTCTTCAGACCTTTTTTCAGAACAATTTAAGGAAAAAACAGGAAGATAGTGAAGGAGACCCATTATTCCCAGCGCGTCTATCTTCTTTCTGACCAAAACAACTCAAATACAAATCAAGTTGTACTTTCACCCTACAAAGTTGTAAGTAGGAACTTCCAAAGAGGACTTGAAGGCACCATTAGTAAGGGTGGAATAGCTCTATCTTTAAAGGGTTTGTCATGCATTCTAGGGTTCATTTGTTTGATATTCCATAAAGTAGGAGGAGCACTGACCTTGGGCTGCCAAGTGTTATTCTGAAGCAAAGAAAGTATGACTAACACTTTTTGATTAAACATTAATCAATGCAAGAGATCTGAACCACTCCATTGGCTGGCAGGCAAGGACTGAACCCAAATGAGCATTGCTTACTGGCTCATGGGTCTGGATACACCCAGCTGAGCTCTAGATGGGAGTGCTCTGATGAGCCTCCTGCACTGTGGAGTTCTTAATCACACACCTCACACACTCCCCAGTAGCCTGCACGGGACCAAGCAGAGCAACCATTTAAGGGATTTAGGGAGGGAAAAGGAGGAATAGAGGAGGGAGAAAGAGAAGGAGGGAGGGATCAGTGGATGGTGAGGATGCTGCAGTGTGTGCCAAGCGCTTAGCCAAAGTCAAAGAGTGCCGAGATGAGATGAGAAGCAATGCCATGCCACCCAGAAAGAAGCATTCTGCTCCAGACTGCCCACCTATCCATAATCCCCCTCAGGCATGGACACAGAGAGGCAGCTGGTGAGACACACAAGGAGGGCAAGAGGATATGCGCGTTTGTGTTCGGTGGATTACTGAAGGGACTGGATACAAGGGGGTTGTTTGATTAGTTCCAGATCCACTGGATGTTAGTTGGACATGCTACTGTGAGAGAAAACGGTATAAGATGGGTGCAGGGGAGCAAGAGGGAAAAAAGGGAGATGTAGCTGAGGAGATGGAGGGAGGGAAGCCCTTAAAGATCCAGCCAATCATCTCCTACTGTGCCCACCACTTCCTGCGTCATCTCATTGGAGCTTCCAGCCAATCGGGCTCTTTCATCTCCTACGTGGAAGAGCATCTGCTTTCCACAGACTGCATCTGAGGCGGGGCACAAACTAACACATTTACCAACTGGCCACTTCATTAAGTGCCACTCGCTGTTTCTACACGCCATTTTATCAGCTCCACTTGCCATACAGGTGCACTGTGTAGTTTACATTTACAGATTATAGTACATCTGATTCTCTGCATACTTTCTTAGCCTTTTTTAACTTGTTCTTCAAAGGTCAGAACCCCCACAGGGCCACCACAGAGCAGGTATTATTTGGGTGGTGGATCATTCCCAGCATTCTCAAAACAGCAGTGCCTCTAGTGAGGTAGTGGTACTGTAATAAGTAAGGCACTGTCACTAGTGTAGCAAGCACAGCAACACTGGGGTTTTTACAACCTAAGGTTTTTATTAGGGCTCGTACAATATATCAGTTGGCCAGTATTTTTGTCTAATACACGGTTTTACTCGTATCCACAAAAGTGTTACAACTAAAGTGCTGATAAATAATATTAATTTTTTATAATCATGGCATCTGCAGAATTTGAACTTGCAATCTCCAGACAATAAGACAAAACCTTGGTTGTGCCACTGGGGAACCCAACAGAAACAGCCCCCACGCCCACCATTTAACTATAATCACAGCAAAATAGCCAAACTGGTGAATACACCATCATGGTTATAACAACTAACAAAAACCAAATCCACAAAAAATTATGGGTGGCTCCACTTGCCTTGCTACAATATCCATATTATTTAAGACTGTGAGTTTCAGTTGTTTATTTACAACTAAATGTGATAATTATGACACAACAATTATATGTCAGTAAAGCATGGTTTAACTATATAAAATCCGAAATATAAATAAAATAATAATAATAATAATAATAATAATAATAATAATAATAATTAACCAATTTAATTTCAACGTAGCTCTTCAAAATCGGTATCGGCATTGGCCACGAAATTTGTACGTTTGGCCCTAGTTTTACATGCCTCAGTGTCCTACATATTTGTGCTCCTTTTTCTCCCTACACAGTACATGTCATCTAGTCCTTTTATGGTCTGAGATTCCATCCGACTCCCCACGCTCTGATCGCTCCGTCGAAACAGACGAGGTGGAATTGAACAGAGAGAAAAAGCAATGTTCCGGCACAGGCATGATCCCTTGGTCCACTTAGTGTTAGGAATTCAGATATTTTCGCTCTCACACTTGAGAAATGTCAAGCAATCAGACTGTATTAGCTGTAATGGGTGATTTTTATAGCAGCAGGGGCCAAAGCCAGACATGGCAAAGTGCACAGTGGGAGGGACGTGAGCAAACTAGCCAGAACCTTATAGCCCATCTACTGCACCCCCGCTAGGGGGTTCTCTCAGTTGTCTCCTTACACAGTCGGCTTCAGCTGTACAAAACTAAATTTGGCATCAAAGACAACCTTATTCAGTACAAACCAAAAGCCCTTAGGGTCTGAAACGCTTACTGCGATCCGTTTTACGTAACACTTCCACAACGTTTGCTGTGCAGCTAAAGGTTGCTGAGCTGCAATGAGACAATGCTGACACCCCCTCGAAAATGCTAGCAAAGGGAGAAACAGTGGAGAGGTAACACCTTTTATGTTGTTCACAAAGGCAATGCACAGGGCGAACACAAACATGGCCTGAGGTAGAAAGAAAACTGTCATTTTTAAATAATGAGCTGTAGCAGTCCAACTAGCTTACAACGTACAGTGATTTCAACAGTGCAACACTATTGACAGTTATGATGTATGATGCAATAGGCTGGAAAATAGATTAATCACATTACAACATGCAGGGCTTATTAATACACAGACAGGTAATAAAGACGAAACTGCAGCGGCAGCATTTGTCACAGCATTTAGACAGACAGCAGTGAGGTCACTGACATTCAAAGGCTGTCTATGAGGGATGGTACTCACAGCTGGTGCACGCTGCAGTTGTAGAATTTAACCTCAGTGCTGATCAGCATTTGACCTGTCTCCTTTGAGTTCAGCCTGAGCTCCACTCCAGACCAATCTGAGAGAGAGAGAGAGAGAGAGAGAGAGAGAGAGAGAGAGAGAGAGAGAGAGAGAGAGGGACAGAGAGACAGAGATTCAGATTACACTCAAAATTCAATTTTAGTTTTTTTTTGTTACTACGCATATCACAGCTTTCTTTTTCAACCTCAGCTGTTGTGTTTATCAAGCTCTTTTACAAATGATGACATCTGAAATTAAATTTATTTAATTGAAATTAGTTAATAGGGTTTGCTGCAGTAACGGCCTGTACTCTTCTGGGAAGGCTTCACTCTGAATGTTGGAACACTGTTGTGAAGATTTGATGGCATTCAGCCACAAGAGTGAGGTCAGGTCATGATATTGGATGATTAATTATGGATCAAAAACGTCACTCCACATCATCCCAAGAGTACTGAATAATCACTCCATAAAATGCAGCATGGTGGGAATGGTGACTCGTGTGTTGCTGCTCCAGAGCATTGCATTCTATTGACAATGCTTTTCCATGTAGATCATACAAGCTGTGCGCATGTAAGGAATAAGTGCACTTTAAAGTAGCTGTATTCACTAATTACAAGGGCTGTCTGAATACTTTTGAACATAGAATCTACTTGCTATTCTTTGGCTATGTTCACATTACAAGCCTTATTGCTCATTCATGTTTTAAAGTGACCCACATTTTATATGACGTTTTATCCAATTCTTCACAAGTTGAATACACATTTTTAATGAATAATAAAAAGAAAGGTAATATAGTGTGCAGTCAGTTGGTCATTAGATTAGACTGGATCCCTCTCTTTGCTTGTGTACCTTAACTGCATACGCTTGCCAGTTTAGCTGGCTTGCTAGCAAGTAGCTTTGACAGATCTCTGATTCTTGCTACGTCGCTAGACACAGCTGAAATGCTAAGTTATTGCTAAATTGCTAAATGCACCAAAATTGCTGCCAGAGCATAAGCATAAGCAGAGAGCATGCAGACTAGCTAGCAACCCATTAGCTTTGTGTTTTTGCATGTCACCAGTATATGTAGAGAAATATGTAGGGAATGTTCGCTTGCTTTCAAATATGCTGCTGAGTGTTGTATTGTTTAAATATTACTATGGTTTCTCTACATATGAGGCACATTGCCTTGTCTTTAAATTAAATGTTTTGGTGGGCTAAATTAAATATTGCCCTCATGGGCTAAAAAGTAGGGGAATTCGGGGGTGGGTTTTAGAGGGGACGTACCTGTTAGTGGCGGATCCACTGCCAAAAATTTAAAAAGTTGTCCCGAAACATGTATTCTCGTTAGGAGATCAGGTCTGGCCATGCAAGACTAGCCACTCCTAAGACTGTACAATGGGGACAGTAATATGCTCATGTGCAGTGAAGTGTAATATAAGAATGACGACATCATAATGGAAGATTTTTGTGTTTATACAGCTTTATCACTTTTAGGCAAAATTTTGGATAGGATAGGATTTGTGTCACTTCAACACTGTAATGTAAACATTCTCTGCTTTTACTAAGCATCAGGAAAACTGACTGGCTATGAATAGCTTTTTCCTGATTTCTCTTGCACCTGAAACGGATATTTCTGATTTCAGATTTTTCAGATTTCTGAGCGCTTCCGCTGGTACAAGCCGTGTCCACAGACTGCAGCACTGAACGAAAAGAAAAAAAATGGTAAGAGAGCTGCCGGCGATGCCATGGAGTGCCAACCAGCTCAATCGCGTTTGGCAAGGCGGAGTAAAAGCGTGGAGAGTACAGCGCTGAAGAAAACGCTCGATAAGCAGCCAGCTCCTCACACTCGAGCAAGCGCGAGCAGGCAGCCGTTCAGCGAGCATACCGCGCGTGGGAGTGAGCCGTGACCCCAAGCTCTCCCAACTCTCCCTCACACCTGCTCTTTGCTTTCTTCTGCTTTACAAAATAAAATCAACACATAGCGGGGTGGTGGTTTTTTTTTTAATATGCTTCAGAAGCACCTCTTTCTCACAAATGTGCGACAAACAATGAAGGCGATTCCCAAAATCCATTTCGTGTCTCACTACCCTTTTAGTTTAGAAAAACTGATTAGAATGGCTAGGTCTATCACAGGATTCAGTGGTCAGATGGTAGCATACATGTTAAAAAGCTAACAGCTACCTAGATAGCTAAAATTACATTAGCATACCCTTTACAAAGTGATAGTTCTAAAAACAGCCATCTTTCTTAAGAACTCAGTCGTCATATAATAATGCTGAGTGACTAAACTTACCTAGAAAATAAATAGCTACATTGTGTTTCTGTACGTCTGAAAGTCTCCAAGCTCAAGCTCAAATAAACAAATAAACATTACTTGGCACAGCCAGCTAAAGTTGTTACTGAACCTGACAGAGGTTTGATTTTTTTTTACTTTCTTTCACTATTTTAGCGGTAACACTTTACTGTACCCAAGGCTACATGACACCTACATTGCTTGTCATGACAACTGATATAATCCTATATAATGTAAATGTTTAGAAATGCTTATTTCAAAAGACGTCATCTGTCATAAAGGCTTTTTTTAGCTAATAAAATAAAACAGCTAATACATTTTAGCTAATAAAACATAACATTTATGTAGGGTTATGTCAGTTGTCATGACAAGCTTATGCAGATGTCATGTAGCCTTAGGAACAGTACTCTACAGGACAGTGTTACTATTGTAGCCTTATACTGAGCAGATGAAGCCACTTCTTTTTAACATTTTGTGGGCGCTACTAATTCCACACATTATCGATGTTCCTTAACAACCTACAGCCCCTAATGCGGATGAGGGAGATAGAGGGGAAATATGAGGTTTAGACATGACATTTACCTGAGGGGGCTCGTTGATTAGGCCATGCTCCCTGCAAGGAGAAGAGGGATTGTGGGCAAACAGAGCTGTCATTTACCCGAAGAAGGTGGGGGATTACTACAGTGTGGACAGTGCCTGTCGTGACCATCTACCTTTCATCATGGGTTAATGTAAGAGTGAGTGAACAATTAGTGAGCTCAAGCTCACTGGGAGTGTTTTCTTTTACAGAGGTAAGAGCCTTGTATTTTTTTTTTTCTACAAACTAGGCTTGAAACCTGAAAACTGCAGGAGCTACTACTGGGAGTCTGATTAACTAGCCCAACTGTCTATCTCAGCAGCTTTCCACACAGAGTTATAGCAGAGCTGTGAGCGCAAACTGGCTTTTTCTGACTGACCACTCGGCCTAAGCTTTCTTTAAAAAACAAATGAAGGCTTATAATGATTAACTGCTGAGAACAGAGCTCTACTTATATATAAGTACTCCACCTTTTATCTCTGATCAAAACATCCACCAGAGTAACTTCAAAAGGGTTTGGACATTCTCTGTTGGTCCATTTGTCATAAAAGGTTCACAAAACATAAAGGGCCGTTAGAGCAGATCTGGATTTTCCCATGAGTTTTAAGGGCATGTGCCCAGGTGTTCAAGCCATTAGGGGGCCTTTACTAGCAGCACAGCAAAAAAGGACTTAATTTCTAATTTGTTATTGTGTCATGGCCAATCATAATCCTGATATTCTCCACATCTTTCCTAAATGTCTGCTTCATTTCTCCTCTAATAGGTCAAGCTTTTAAGTCTTTTAGTAGTGAAATAGTTTCTTTGAATGTACTTTGAATTTGAAGCTCCAGATATCCAAAAATGCTCCTGGGGATCTGTAAAAGCGTGACCTGTTACCTTAACAAGAGTAAAGGCCATTTACAAAGCCAATTAAAAGAAAAATGTTGCATCACCGTTGTCGGTAGTGACCTGCAAACTGTCTACTTCTGCGCATGAAGTTATGAGGTAAAAAATAAATAAATAAATAAAAATAAAAAAAGAATTAATTCCATACCCTCCGTACTTTAGTGAAGAGCAGATACGTGTTTCATAGTGAAATTTTACATTGGTTTTTGGGTTTACATTAACCTGGTTTGGCTCGATCGGAAAAAAAAAATGTGCCTATAGCGGTGACATACTCAACACCACCATTAGTATGTTAAAATCATGGTTCTGCATAGCCTTTAAGTAACCTGCTGTGATATTGTAAAAAAAAAAAATAATTCTCTGACCATATAAAAAAGGTAGCCAGGTAGGGGTCCACCAAATATTTGATCCCAGGAGCCAATAATTTGATGATCAGGGCCTGTGTTGGAGGTTTTCAGCGAATTCATTGTGACTGTCTTCATAGGCCTCAGTTGTATCTCCTATTTCTAGGTAAAACTAAGACTCATACTTAAACTCCTGATCCCAGAACAGCCCATAAGAAAGCGGCTCTAACTGACGCAGGAAAAGGGCACCGGGCCCTTCACCTGTAATAGGTGTCAGCGTGGCTGGGAGCACGGCTTTAGCCCACGGGCTCACCCGGGGTCAGTGTGAGCTCATTAGAGCTGCGGATCAGCGCGGCCTGCAGGATCGATGGCAGGGCCCAGGCATGAGGCCGGCGGGCCGCACTGAGTGAAGCGCTCATTAGGAAACAGCAGAGCACGTGTCTGAGGAGCTCTATTAATAGGACATCTATAGGAGAGCATAGAGAAAACCACACCCTCAGGGAGGAGGCAGTACAACAGAGGAAAGAGGAAAAGAGGAAGCAGGATGAGGGAACGGATAGATAGAATATGCATGTGGTTTGAAAAGATAAACAAACAAGGTTTTGTGTGTGTGTGTGTGTGTGAATAAATAACTGGTGAAAGAGGACAATGAGGTGACAGAGGGCAAAGACTGAGAGTGTAAAGCAAAATCTAAAAATAAGGGGATTAGATTCTTAAAAGCACAGTATGGTGATTCGTATTTAAACAATTCACCCATTAAAAAGAAAGAAGTTTTTCAACATTTAAAAAAGACGTAAACAAAGTAATTCAGAGTGCTTTGATGTGAAATTCTCTGTTCTAGAGAATTTGAATAATTCACTGGTGAAAAAAAGCTGTAAAAGATATCTCACAGAAAGTTATTATATGAAATGGTTATGAATACATCGTGTGATGCCGGGGACGTTGTTTTCCAGTAGTTTGGAGATAATGTTCTGGCCTAAAACATTTTTTTTTAAAAGCGAGTCAAGACAAAATAGTACCCAGAATTATTTTTTTTATTTAGCAGTTTCACTATTTTTAATATTACACATAAAAACTTGTGGTTTATTTGTAACTTTGAATAATTAATACAATGTCAATTTATATGGTAGACACTGTGACCCTTGGTTACATACTTGTCACAAACCTGTTTTAGCTATGTAAAATGTCTTACTTGATCGACTGCATTTAAGCTAAGGGGACAATAAATGCAATTTGATTTATCGCTTTAAAGCAATACCTTGATCGGTGGGAATGATGGGGACATCTTTAGCAGCTGGAGAAATGCACAGGATCTGATTGCCATCCACCGTCCCCTCCACCTCCGTCAGGTTCCCAAAGGAGCAAGTGATTCCAGCTGAGAGATCTGGAACATCCGTTACCTTCACCAGCAGCTGGATGCGGGGGCAAGAGAGAAAAAAAGTTAAGGGTTTTCATCTATTTACTTCCTTCCTTACTTACTTCTATTATTTCTTTATTTATTTATCGGCTTAGCACTGCAGTATTTTTGAATCGAGCATAGTCCTGCAGGTACACAGCAGATGGCCTCACCATAAGGCAGTGGTGCAAACTGTCAGCCAACTCTTAGCCTCAGATGCAAGTGACATTGCATTATAAAAAGAACCAGAAAGGCTGTTTTTGCTTTCTTTTTCCTTAAAAAAAGAGATGAAAATGGACATCTGACAAATTCAATCAACTTCTTGAACTCCTCTTCCTCAGCTCACAAGAGCACACAGACATACCCACACAGACACACTGTCTTTTGAAGTCTTCCTCTAGGGAGCAGTCCCACACAGATGCTGGAGCTCTCTATAAATAAATATTTTCCAGCTCCTCGCTGGGGTGGGCGCTTCATGCTCCAGCCTGGTGGAGGAGCGTTTGTAATGACTGGGCTGGCATTTGTAAAGGCTTTCTGTTTCACCTGACCGTTTGAAGGTTTTCATCGTTCCAGCTGACTAGCGTCAAAAACAGCGAGGACTCGGAGTGGATTGAGAAAGCCAGCTTATAGCTATAATGCAACGAGGCCTGACAGCAGCACTGGCTGTCGCCCAGATGTTCCTGTGCCCTTTTCATCCAGTCTTCTTGCGTAGAGGCACGTCCACAAAGCAGCTAATTACACAGCCCAGGAGCTGACCCGTCTACTCACTGATTACACGTGTTTTCCGTGCTACCCATGCGCGCGTGTGAACGACTCGTACGATCAGAAGGAAAAGCTGTGGGGAGCATAGCTAATTGCTAATCCTGAGAGAGCTCAGAAAGAAGATTTTCTGAAGCCAAATCTCTCTAAGAACAAACGTCTGATTCATGCATTCAGATGTTTTATGTATGAAATTTCCAGCCTGAAAAGCCAACAGCAAATTAATATCTATGGTCAACAAACAGGCCAATTTATTACCAAAGAACTATAGATAGTGTAGGCTAGGGCTGGGAGTCGATCCCAAAATGAATCGATTCCTCGATTCCGGGTATTTGGTTATCGAGAGCCAAAAGGTTTGCCCGCCTTTGGTAAGCAAAGTAAAATGTAATATTTGTAAAGAAAAATTGGTTTATAATCAAACAATCTACCCACCTACAGGTTTTGAGAGAGCAGGAACAGCTACAGTTTCACCAGCCACTATCAGCAGTGTTGCCAGATATAGCATGTTCCCACCAAATTGGACAAATTTTGGTTGGATTTGGCTGGGAGGGTAGTGCTTTGGCAGGTAGACAAAATTTAGGCTGGTTTGTCATTTTTTTATAACTTATTATATAACTAAGATATTTTTAAACTTTATATAAAACTAGTAAACTGCAATGCAAGCAAAGCAAAGTTTATTTATATAGCACTTTTTACAACAGGTGTTGTCACAAAGCAGATTTACAAGGAAATCAGCATTACAAAAACTGATTAATTAAACTGCATTGTTTAATAATGCAGCTGAGATGTAATTAGGCCTAACATCTCCCCACATCCCATCAGTTATCAAAACCTTGACAGACATACATTTTAGTCACTCCTGTTAAGAGGAGGCCATTATCCCCACCCATCTGTATCAACAGTTGATATCAGCGGTTAACGCACTCAGTTTATTATTGACATAATACATTGGTGCCTCTATAAAATTTCAGGAGGGTGGCAATGCAACTGTGCAAAGAGGGGTGGAGGTTGTTTAGAGGTTGGGAAGTTGTTCGCAGATAGCCTAGCTGCTCTCTTCTTTAAGGTAAATGTAAAAGTCAAAGTGCGACCAGATGGAGGTTGAGGGTGGCGGTGTGGTTTGCTGGTGGTGGGGGGCAAGCAATTGTTTAAGGGTGGCCGTGACAAAAGCATGTTTAAAGTCCTGAGTAAAAGTGTATGCCGAATTGGACTAGTTCTGAGCCTTAAAAGAGCATAACATTATTATTTCAACTACAACTAACAGAATGACTCACATTTTAGTACTTTTTTGAACCATTAAATCATGCTTGGTGTACATTTGCGTGCATTAAGCTTAACAACAGATCTCTGAAATTGTGTCGTCATTCTGTAGTTGGCATCATGCCCATTTAAGGAATTCTGTGTCTAAGCTGATTTAGCAGATGCAAAAAATGAATACCGTTTTTGAAAACTGCACCATGTTAAATAAAAAATGTTTCAAAGCCGATACATTTTGCCGTGCATACATTTTTTCCTCAGAATTTATATATATATATATATATATATATATATATATATATATATATATATATATATATATATATATATATTCCATGAGGCAATGATCTACAGCACAGGAGAAATCAAACAAAGCAAGGAGGAAAAGATGTTTCCTTGTTGTCATGGACTAGAAATGACCTCCTCTTGCTGGGCAGGCTGGACTTTGGGCTTGTGTCTTGCCAACTCACAAACTCCTGAAGCTCTGGCATGTACTTATGTTGTGCTTTTTTTGCTCTTTTTGCTGTGCGTTAGCTGTATGGCTGCCGCGCTGTGGCTATTTGTGTGTGGGAAGAGGTGGCTAATTGCTAGCAGCATTTTTAATAAAGGTAATTTGATTCTTTTTCGCTGCTTTTTCATGCTCCTGCATGCATGGGCTTTGTTGTCATGGCGATAGTTTCCCGTCACTGACCCTGCTGCTGTTGCTCGGTGGAGTGAAGCGGCAGAGCAGCTCGTTACCTCCGTAAACTGCTCTCTGTACTTCACAAACTTTGTTTGATATTTGGATACTGCAAGCCAGCGAGTGAGTTGTTTGAGGGAACCAAATGATGCCAAGACAACTGGAAATTTTAACAACTGGACGCTGTAGGAACATTTGTTTAGTCCCAATAAGGCAAATGCATATCTTCAACAAAAATTCAGCTTTTATTTAAAGTAACAAATGAATAAAAAGATTTCCGTTTGGTTTCTGAGGTTAAAATGGTTAACAGCAGTGAATTGGATTGGTATTTAGCTACAGTAATACAAAAGCCAGTGGAAAATATGTGTACAAAGGGCAGTGGAAATATCCTAAAAAGACAGGAATAAACACATGTAAGAGAGAAAGAAACAGAAGGACAGAAAGGAGTGTTTTTTTAAAATAAAAGCTTTAATGAAGGCAAGAAAAAGAAGCGCTCTCTCTGGTCGTCCTCAACTCGGCACAGAACACACGCCAGCCTCTCCTCAAACAAAACTCCCACATCAGCCTACACATTCACATTTTGGCATCTCACCCACACATGCACCTTGCCTCTACTCGCTCAGTCTCCCATCCACCCACACCATGCATTACCACTCAACCGAAAAGCAAGCGAGATAAACAGCACATCAACACATCGCCATACAGAACGAATTTGGGCAATTTGTGTTTACAGTCACCAGAGAAAGCAACAGATTCCACATCTATTTTTTCGTGCATTTAAAAGGCTCACTGTGAGTGAAGAAAGAGCGTTCTCTCAGATTCACTAAACCTTCCTCAAAATGCATTTGAGCTGAACGATACTGGAAAATGTGCAAAAGTCAGAGACCACTCTTTTATTTATGTAATTTCCAGTCAAGACAACCACTGAGTACAAGTCATTCATTGCTCAGCAAGAAGTAGGAAAAAAATATTTAACAGAAAATTACACAAAAGCCTTTTTCTGCACCCTACTGCTGCTTCAACTCTTCCTTTTTTCCAATCTTAAAACCAGCATCTTACAGCTGTATCCTCCCAACAAAAGCTGTTCCCAAAGCTCTTACTGACACTGTTTCCCTTTAAACAGACACTGACATTCACACAACAAGCTACCCAAACACACCTTAGCTGCCTTGCACATTTCTTTCTTATGTGCACTTTAAATGGCTTGGAAATGATGTAAGATAAAGCAGATTAGATATAAAAGAATCCATTTGCATAAGAAAGAGTAAAGTCAGATGAAAGTCTAAAGAGTCTACATGTGTTATGGAGATTACATGGACCGTGAGAATCAGGAAATGCAACCAACTTCTAAGACTGAACTTTGGAAGTAGTTGCAAGAAGCAAAGATAAACATCATTTCAGATTTCTTTGAAATAATTAAATCAAGTTTCCAGAAAAGAATGGAAACTGTAATCAAGGGAAAGGATGGACAAACTAAATACAGAAAAAATTAGACTATATTTATTTGCTGAAGCTCCTCCTTGATGTTCCTGTTGAACATGTTTTTTTTTTAGTTTTCTTCCTGATGCTGAAAAATGAATAACCTGCTCTTAATGCCCCAAAATGGTACCAAAATGTGTATGTATGTGCAGGTGTGACTTACTGGTACACCTGGTTCAGAAACTGCAATGCTGTCAGGGTATACATTGGCCTTTATGCACTGGTTCAGGGTGGCTGCAAAACGGTAGGGTTCATTGGCCCGTTCACATCTATCTCTCTGAGAACACCTGTGGAGAGAAAGAGAGAGGAAGAGAAAGAGAAAATAACTCATCAATATACTCCATTACACCGTTCATTTAACTCTGTGGACATAAAAGAAATAAAGGATATTAGCAGTGAATAGTCTGTTTTCTTATTATGGTTTATTATTGTCATTCATTCCATCACATAATACACAGTACTAAAGGATCTGCAATCTTCTTCTATTGGACTCTCAGCTAAGCTGAAGAAAGACCACTGTCCATGGTACTGGATGCACTTTTGCCTCAATCAGCATATCTACCAGCAGCTTTGATAACTTCTGTCCTCATATTCACCCAGACAAAGCACCTTGATTAACCCTTTAAAGCTATGGCAAAAATGCAGTTACATTTAACCCACTCTTCTGCATTAGTTATGTCATTTATTTTCATAAGTAAAGAACAGATTTTTATTTTGTCTGTGTGACAAATTATAATTTCGAGCAAGCAAGCATACCAGGACTATTTTTCACACTTTAGTCACATTTTATTGTCACTCTTATAAAACAAATCAATAATAAGCCCTTATCAGTTTGAATTCTATTCTGAATGTGTGCACATTCTCAATTAATCTGCATTTACATTATGATGGTAGACAAAAAAATAGAAATTCTATGTTTTTCAGCAATGGTATATACTCCAACCACCAGCAACGTACTGCAGCGGTCAGTAGACTATTTGGTCAAATATCCTAACTTATGTCAGTAGTTGCAGCAGTGGAATAAACTGGATGTTGAATTTTTCTATTTCTACTATTTAAGTGCATACAACAACAAAGGCAGCATTGTGCTTCTTTCATATAGCCATAGAAACACAGTAGCACACCGACAGCTCCAATTCCACATTTTGATACATTTTACAGCGGTTAATGTGGACATGTTTATCGTCCAACTACACAAGGGGCAGATCTGAATGAGTTCATGGAAACACAGAGAGAAGGCTCTGAATGTACTGCTGATTGTACGAGGGGTAAGATAAGGTAACACTCCTGGGAGTAATATGACGGTCTCAGTGGAATCTTCTAATAAGGAATCTGAATTCAGATCAGTAGCTAATGTTTTTACAGTTCTTGTAGCTCTTCATGTGAGACAGCGAATGGGAATAAAAAAACTAGCACTCTTTTAGGGTTCAAATGATCCTCGGTCTCTAGAGTGCTTCTCACAGTGAACGGTTCAACTTGGAGCTTGCGGCGGCAGAAAAATGCATTAAAGGTAATTTGAGTACCTGCTGTAAGAGAGAACGAAAGCAGTCCATGTAAGACAGCAAGGAGCACTACTATCTGATAAGCAAATAGCCTAATGGTTACAATACGACCTGATTTCTGTAGTATCTCAACGTAATATTATGGTACATGGTTAAAAATAAAGGTGCCAGAAGTGCTGCTCATTGGGTCCTATTATAAGTGTGTTTTGAATCAAGTACAGGGAAACATCTGAATGATTTTCTGTAGTAACTGACTGTTTGGTACAGATTCAGCAGATAGAGATTAGCTTGAAAATCGCTGGAGTATTCTTTTGTAGAACCATTCACTGAAAGGTTCTTCAGGTCTTTACGGAGCCAAAAGTGGCTCTGTAATAGTATCGCTCCAAAGAACTGTCTGTGGGAGCTTTATTTTTAAGCACAGACAGATCCGGGGGGCAATGCCCCTGTCCTTCTGGCCTCACAAGGTGCCCTATTGGTCAATGCATTTTTTATATCACTTCAGCTATTGTTCAATATCTGTTTCTGTGAGGCACAGCTAATTCAGCCTCACCCTGGGATTACAGGCAGTGGGTCGGCTTAGATCATTGCTCTTGTACCCACTCTAGATTTCTAGTCAACATCACCACAGCATTGGAAATCCCACCGATAAATCCCTGATAACCCCTCATATTGGCAGTGACTGGTACACTAGTAGTAGGAGAGGGGTGCTAGCAACCAGAAGGTTTTTGGTTTGAATCCCAGAAGGGTTTACCTGATTGCACCTTTGGGCAAGGCACCAACACAACCTTCAACAGCCCCAGGAACTGCTGCTGATGCTGTGCTGCTCCCAGAATTGGCATAGTTAGGCAATAAAATACAATAACAAGTATCTATTGTAGGATTAATAAAAGTGCTGCATAATGTCTCCTTAGGAAAGGATTATATTCTATATTGTGGTTATTTTGAACAACACTCTAGATTCACTAGATCAAGTTTTGTGAGATAACGTGGACTTCTGAGAGATAATTATAACACATATGTCTAGTAAATAATTGTAACTCACATATGTCTAGTAAGTAGTTAGTTAATGGCAAAGTCCTCTGTGGCAGATTTTGTCATCGGTTTAGGCTGATCTGGGAAAGACTCCTAACGATACGTTAACACTAGCAGGCAAGTTGCTAATGTTGCTTCTAGTTGTCTTTTGTGAGGATGCTCTTGTTGTCGCTTGTGGGGGTGTGTACACTGATCAGCTTCTGGCAAGAAAATGTGAAAAATATGTACTACATATGTATTGCCATTGTGTTCAAAATATTTGGCAATATAGGAATTTGTTAGAATCAGTCATTTAGATTCTTGGTTGCAAGTCAGTTATAATTGGAAAATTATTGGCTGTTTATTTTGGCCCCTACAACTTGTGCCGAGGCATACTATAGCTATCTATTGCTAATTATCTATTTGTGATTACCACATAATATAAGGTTGATACAAATAGAACATATAAAACATGATGTTGTCACAGATAAAAAGTAGCAAAGCCAAGCTGCTTGGCAGGGCTGTCATGTGCTCTTGTCAAAGTTTTGTTTAGCCTAAACATACACAAAATAATTTTTTCTACCTTTCAATATTTTTATGACTGGGTGTGTGGAGGTACGATGAGGCGGTTCCACCACGTTATTACGGTTGCATGGGCACGCTCAACAAAGGTTAAAACCGGGTGGATACAGACAAAGACCATAGCTGAAATAGCCGGGTGCAGGCTTTACAGATGGTGGGTAGGGGCCACAATGGTACTAGGTCTTGTGGGTGGGTGCATGCAGGAAGTACACCAGATTTTGCAGGCGCAGGTGAATGTTGAAGCAGGTGGGTGCGGACATTAATAATCAAGCTTGGACAGACCTGTAAAGTCCACCAGAGCACTGTTTAAGAGCACACATGTTGTAATCACTTTTGTTTTACATTAATGTGTATGAGAATTGCATGCTTATGTTTCATCAAGCCTCTCTTTGTTTTTGACTTTCGCTCAGTTACTCCCTCTCTCCCTCACTCCCGTTTCCTTTTTTGTTCTTTTTCTCTCGCCCAGGCCTTTCTGACAGGGAGCATGTCGACTTGCAATTTGCAGCATCTCTTTTACATCCCTAATGCTCGAGGGAAAATGACACTTAATGCGCTTTCAGATGTCTACGATGGCTTGTGAATACCATCTGAAAATGTGTGTGCGTGCACATTGCAACTAAGCTGCCAAAGCATTGATTTTTATTTTGGGGGTGGAGAGGGGATGGGGATGCTGCGGTTGCCATGGTGCTGATAGATGGTCATTATGTGTGTGTGTGTGTGTGGTTAGAGATCCTCCTCTCTTTTTCTCTCATTAATTGAAGTATGTGCCCACCCCACCTGTCTCAGGCACTGTCAGTCTGTCTGGCCCTGTATGTCTGTCTGTCTGGCTAACTCGGGCTTTGTCTGCCTTGTGGCGGCCCAGGTCCATCTAAAACGCTGTGTGGAATGCTTTTACAGGTACAGACTGCACACACACACACAATTTATAATGAATACACACCTACACAAAAACAGCTAGAGAAAGGGAGCGCAGATAAAGAATCCATCCACAGAGCTGCTTGTTAGTGCCTGAGATAGCACAGGACTTCCAAACATGCCAGCAGTCTGGTCAAAAATATACATTTCATTAAATGAAATGTCTCTAAAATTAACAAATAAGCATCGGCCCTATTGTCATATGATAGCATGGCTAATCCCTGGCGATGCCACAGCCATCTATAGCTGGGAGTCCAAGAGAGCATAATTGGCCTCACTCTCTCTGAGTGGGTAGGATGGCCCTCCCTCTCCCCACATCACTCAGTGCAGTGCTAGCCAATGTGGGCATCTGTTGATGTAACAGAGCTGGCAGTTAGTGTTCTCATCCAAGTGCGTCGAGCTGCCCAATGATAATGTATTTGTGGCAGTTTTAAAAGATGCAATGGCACTGGCCATAACTATTTTGGGGAGAAATTGGGAAAAAAAACTATAGAATCCAAAATGTTCCATTCCAATCCATTTGCCGTGACAATGTGACGTGTCTCTTTATCTGTTTTGTTCTTGAGACCCTTGAGGCTGAACCTTTAGCATTAGCTAGAAAGCACTCATTAAGTTTGCCTAATTTGTTATCTTTGAGAAAGAAAAATAAAAATTAAGATCTCCTTAATATATCTGGAGTTTCTCCTAGACAATGATGAGATCAAATGCTTAAGTCACCTGCTGCTCAGATCTTTCTCCTGAGCAAAAAAAAACAGCAACCTCATGTGACTACTTTCAGTAAAGATCTCAATAAAGTTACACATTGTGCTCAGATTTGCCATTATATTAACACTTATGTTTAGCTGCAACTGAACTAAAGACATTACTGAACTAAAGATATCTGTTCCAAGACTTCTAAGCGCATCATGTGAGCAATAAACTTGTCTACTGGGGATAGCTGCTTTAACCGATATTCGACAGTGCTAAGTAAAGTGCAAAACAACAGTGGAGACGCTGTATGACTTCAATCCTTAAAATCGTTACCAATAAATGCTAATAAACATCAGCAATGCATGTTTATGAAAATGCTATGATAAGCAGTCTGAGAATGCATGGCAGATAAGGGCACACAAGAACATTTTTTGGTTTAAGCCCCAAAAATTGTAGCCCTGATTTGTCTCTGAAATCAAATGCTTTTGGTTGATTTTTTATTGTGATTTAGAATGTTATACCCACTAACAGGTCTAAAATGTTTTGTATGAAGTTTGTAGAGTGTGTACTGCATACGTGTGCTCTGA